TCAGTTCGAATTCTTGGTAACTTGTTTTCCACATGTTCAAATGCTATAATTAAATATTATGAAAATTATTTTGGACTTTCAACGCAAAAATACGCAATACCTTTTCGAAGGAGAACACAATTTTGGGTTGAAGAATTAGCATAAAATTCTTTCGACCAGATCCAGTTTGTGTGCGCGTATGCGGTTTTGATCTGGTCACATTGTTCTGGTGTGTGGAGCAGAACCGTGTTATCTTGTCACGACACTCATTCGAAACCACACACATATGATCGAGTTTCAAGAAGCCATATCTAATTTAAGGTCGACGAAAGAATACATTTTTTCGGTTGCTGGAATGCAAAATGGTCTCATGCGCTCAAATTCTATTACGACAAGCTCATTAACAAAAGCCACTGAAGCAAAAAGCAACAGGTTTACATCGCGCAAAAAAAAACAACATAAAATTGGAACAATGGGCTGATTCAACGTAAAGTTTATTCAAGTTGAAGAGCATTGTACGGAATTCCTTAAACAAAAATAACACGAATATTTACGTTAACATTGAATTGAAGTTCGAAAAAGAAAAAAAAAATCAAATAAACAACTTAATCAACCGAAATAATACCACCAAAAAATGATTTTGGTTTCGTGTACACACACGAAAAATAATATTTCACGCATCAGTTATCATCCTAACAAGGGTATTAAATGTATCTTGCTTGTTTTTTTTCTTTGACATTAAAAGTATCAGTTTTTCCATTCGAAAATATGTAACTCAACCACTGTACATTCACTTGGGCAAATATTTACTCGATGAAAGAACGGTATTTGAATAAGCAAACAAATGATTTCGTTAAAAGTCTTTCAACAAAAATTATACATGATTTCCAATATCAATTTCATTCAATCGTTTTGAAATGCACTTGCTTTCGACCAACAGTTCTCATAATAATTTCTTAGATACAAACATTTGTCATCTTCATTAACATTGAAACGAGCGATCGCTGCGTTTGACTCAACCAAACATATTTATTGAGACAATTAAACATCATGTGATACGCGGTCGAGAGAACCATTTCCATCGAAATACTATTTGCTTAGGCATCGATCTGTTGTAATGTAACGGTGAGCCTCAACTCGCTTTTGTTGACTTTCCGTCGTTCGCAAGAGTATTCACTCCAGCTGTGACATTTCCAAATACACATTTCACATGTCAATAATCAATTTTCGAGTGCACAGTGTTTAGTGCACTTACATCGTTACGTCGCTATCATTGTACTACATCGTTTGACTCGGAACGTACGTTCACCATATGAAAAAATGTCAATAAGAATCACTCAAGGCATTTTTCCAACCATTCCAACATGTACACATTACACACACACAATCGCGATATGTGCAAGTACAGTTTTTGTTTTGAGTACATGCACGAGCTGTGTGCGATCGATGTCGAGTCAATTGCTTTGCAAACACACATTGAGCCGAGAAAAGTGTGCGCTATCTGACTCAATTTATCGCTCATTTAATATTCATTTTCGTTTTTTGCTGTCGTTGTTGTTGTTCGTTTTCAATTCGCCAAATCATATTTAAACCTTTTTTTTCTCTTATTTTGCGCTCAATTGTCTTTAATGTGATAAATTTGATGTTATCGCGGTGGTAATAGTGAAGGAAAATAGCTGCCACTTGCAATTGAAACAGAACGAAAGAGGAAAAAAATAACAGTCAAGTCATCAATGACGTAGTAATTCCAATGCAAAAGTCAAACCGTCAAATAGGTTGAATGGTTTTAAAGTCGAAATGCGCTGCAGCATTGCTGTCTCTGTGATTGCGTTCACCGATTACTGCCAGTATTATGCATTTTTAATATGTCGTTGATTGAAAAGAAAAGCCATTCCGTGGAAAAACGAACAGTGCAACGCTGTGTTCGAACCGAAGTTCGAGTTAAATCGAACCTACGACAACAAAATGCAATCATATGATATTTCCCAAAGCAATTCAACCACCAACGGCAATAGCTCGAATGAGTCCCTTTCAATGCATCTAAACCAAAGTGCTGACGGGATTATTCCAAAAATGTGCTGCGTTTTGGCTGCAAACAAATCAGTGGAAGAGGCAACGGCAGTTAGACACCACACATTCACTGCCATCGAAAATTACAATCGCCTCGTCATGATAACATACTTTAGATTAGAAAGACAACATTAAGATTTCAATTGGGAATATTTTCTAAGGTTCGAATCGGCACAATCGGTCTTAGTGGCCGATTGGTGTGTATGCGCGCGTGAAACGGTTATGGGCAAAGCGAGTCGCACACTTATTCAAGTAAGGCATCATTCCTGCACACAACAAAATAGAGCCAGCACAACAAACGCGCGCGCGCGGAACACAGTTTTATATTATGTAAAGCTATAAACGGTGATTTGTTGTTGTTGTTGTTGTTGTTGTACCGTCTTTAACTCGTTCGCCGTTTTTTTTCTCTTCTCATTTGCGCTTTGCGTTCGCATAATGAAAGACCATTTATATTTCGTGAGTTTGCACGTTTTCACCGCATTTGTTTGGATTTTCCTTTATTTAATGCAGAGAAAAGCGATTATTTCTTCGTGAGTCGCGTTTTGAAACGGAAAAAAAATAAACAAACACACCGATAAAGGTTGTTGCAATTCACACACTCGCATTGAGCTCATTAATTTACTTTCAGCATACACACACAGTGGGAAATTCGATCGTCGCCAAAGCACTTGGCATGTTGATTTTCAATGGAACTCAACCTCTTCGGCGACGACGATGACTCTGGAACACATTGCGCTAACTTGTTCCTCCAATTTAATCGCCCGATTGATTCATATACATTTTTCCATGCATTGAATGGAAAAAACCGTGAACAACAAGAAGAAAACTCGCATGCTTTGAAATGTTAAGCACGCATTTTCGGTTCATTTTTCAAATGTCAGACCGAAGCCGAACTGAAGCGAAATGAATTTGCAATACTGTAAAATTAACGGCTGCATTTAGTTGAGGATTTGACATTTGGTTGCACTGTATTAGTGCTATTCCGTCAAGTCATTTCACTAACTGTAATTTCCCATTATGAGCGAGTTGTCAGTGATTGACAACAATTCCCGACTACGACACAATTCCAGTAGACTTAATTGTGCAGCCGGTTCCTTTTTAAACCGTTAGAAAATGCACAAATGTCATAATCATAATAAACTTGATTATGTAATCGACGAATAGAGTCAGTCGACTCCGAATCTAATTTCTACGATGATGAAAGAATAACCCATAAAAAATTATATGCAAAAAAAAAATTTATTTGTTCATTCAACAAAAGCAGTGATTGCGATATCGCTCTCAGTATCTCATAGGATAACTGAACGAGATAATTCAGCTGGCTGAGATGACGCAGCGACGCATCACCCGAGTCTGTGCGATACACATACACACAATGCGCCCAGCGGTATCCTTATACACTCAGTCCCATTTAGTGACGCGCGGCATCGAATTGTGTGTGTGTATCACAAAGATACGGGCGATGCGTCGCTGCGTCATCTCAGCCAGCTGAATTATCTCGTTCAGTTATCCTATGAGATGCTGAGAGCGATATCGCAATCACTGAACAAAAGCAACATCAAATACTCGAGAAGACATATTGAGATCGTTGACGAGTAAAATTTTACAATCGATTCATTAAAATCCGAGAAAAGTGTGTTATTTACTCATGCAAGCTAAGTGTTTTTGCTCGAATTGAAAATGCGCCTGGAATTATTTCGAAATGTTGCATTTGAAGAGGCTGACTTGTATACACAAAAGCCATTCACCAAGTTGAAAATGATACCACTTATGAGTTATAATAAAAATATTAATAACAATAAAGAGAAGCAAAGGCAGAGAAAAAAGAGCAACAAACGGATAGCGATGCCATATCATTAAATCGATTAAATTGCTGAGAAAATGCATAAAGCATTCATTTTGATATGAATATGATATTTGCGCGCGGGCGCGGCAAGAGCATTCGCAATGGTTCGACTCAAAGTGACGACAACCAAAAACCAAAACAAACTACAACCTCCAATAACAGTAGCATTATTGCCCATGGCATGAATGATGAATAGAGTAAACATACTATATATGTGATCTGTGGGCAAAATGCAGCTAAAATACCAAATGAAAACTCTTACTTTTCTTGCCTTTTTTGTGCCACAACGAATCTTGTTTTGCCCGATTTCACGCTGAAATATTTACTTAATGGACCTTTTTATGATCGTTTTTTCTCTCCTCATCTCGTTCGAGCAAAAATACACACAAACCTAAAGCTAATTGCAACATGCTGCGCGTCCAGTCACACTATGTGTCGATATTTGCAAATCCATCGATCAACGACGCGACGCGAGAAAATACCGCCGAAAGAATTCAGAACATATGTTCGGTAGCCACTCCAAATTAACGATAAATTTGACTTGTAGAACATATGCTCAAACCGCTGTAAATTTTGACGAAATTCAACTCCAAGTGTCAATGAACTATCAGCGTAAATATACCTTCGATTAGAGCATTAAAATGTTGTTCGTAGCATAAATTGAGTAGTACAGACCGGGCGCAACTTAGCACGGAGCATGAAAAATTATGGTCGAGCATCATTTGTTTCACAGGGCAATTTATAGAATAATCCATCAATTTGAATGTTTGTTTGTCTGAACAATGTTTAATGTTTCATTCATGTGTGCTTGGTGCTGGGTCGTTAGCGAGTCTAGATATAGATTTTGCAACGTGCACTGAACCATGTCGAACACATGTGAGCCTTCTAACGAATGTCATTGCACAAGTGAACTTTTCCCTCAAATGGAACCAAACAGCGAATGATGAACGAAATAAACAAACATCCGCTAGAACTCTCCAACATTTTTCTCAGATAAAATTTAAATTAATGTTTTTATTTGAATTCCACTAAGTTTAAGAGCTATTTGTTCCTAAGCTATACTAATTCTTCTTCTGTTTTTTTTTGTTTCTCTCTCGTTCCATAGGAATTATATCGTATAATTGCGAAGCATGCAAAATTAATTGGCGCATGTACACGATCATTGTCGCGACAACGGGACTCAAGTGAAACGCCGACATCGTTGATTACACAGAACAATACAGACGATTTAAAATCCGAACTTGAAAATAAGCAGCAACAGCAACTGCCACACGACGACGATAATTGCTTTTCATCATTGGAAACGCACACTACGCGACGCAGCCACAGCAGCAGCAATTCCAATAGTGAATGCAATCTTCGAGCGCTTGAACGACGCTATCATTCATTGTATTTGAAATCATTTGAAATTTCTGTGCTGTTCGAAAATTTGCTGAAAAACGACGATTTACAGGTACGTTCGGTACATTTGGCTTTGACTTCTTTTTACCGTTTCATGTTTGATTAAGAAAGAAATCGATTGAAGGGAAAAAAGAACGAAAAAAATCTAGAAAACTAATCGAAATGAGGAAAGTCTCTTCTGGTGGAAAACTTAAGTCATTAGAAACGAAATTTGCTGCAGCAAATGAATCGATTTACGCAAAGTTTTTTTCATTGCAAAGTTATTCCGAGTATTTCAAAAGTTAATTTCCTTTCGAAAAGTTGTTTTTTCATTTTTGATCCGACGCGATAACGACAACTGAATGAACCGCGCCGCGCTGACTGATGAACTTTCATTACACAGTAGTTCAAGAATGGAGTAAACTACAAACAATATAAACAACATGATTTGTTTCCGCATTAACGGTTACTATCACTCCATATCCCACACATGCTCACAGTGCACAGTGCCCGATTCAATCAGCGTGGCATTCTTGCTTTTGTCATTGTTAACCGCAATAAGAATGAAACAGAGACAATCGCTTTCTTCCGCATGTTCGGCTTGAGTGAAATTTGTCTTTCACACACACACACACACACACACACACACTCTCTTTCTCCCTCGGCACATTCGAAAGATTGATTTGGTTTAGATTTGTACAAATTGCCTTACAAACTACTGCCCAAGTAAAAATAGCCTGGTGATTATTGGTTTTTTTTCATTCACAACAGCTTCCGATTTTGCGCAAGTCAATTGGGCATTGGCTTGCGGATCTTATGCTGGCGCGAACCATGAGAATATTTTGATTGCTTATGTGTATTTGTCACCCTCTTTGCGGTTGCAACGGATTTGAATGACTATCAGCGTCACAGCTGTGCAGTTGCAATTTATTCGGTGCCAACACCGAGACTCCTCAGGAATTGGGCCATTCGACTCGCGCAGTTTTTTTTCTCCTTTTTATTCTCGTGTTGTGTTTTACTTCATTTCTATTGGTTTGCGTGCCCGTCGTGTTGCTCGTGTGGCCCCACTTTTCAATCGACATTCTTGAGCTATTTTTGCACTTAACTGCAACGCTTCGAGGTATATTTTGAACCTAGTGAGACTACAAGAGAACACTGTTGCACACGCACTTTCCAACCTATTTCATTTCGGATTTTTCTTCAATTACCCCAATTTTAGATGAAAAAAAATTGGCAACCATTTGAAAAAAATAGCTATTTTATGTTAACGGCACTACGTTGAAATCTTCGGGCTACTACAATCAGTCAACACACTCATTGACATTTCCTATTCAATCAATTATCATGACAAAAAGATATGATCGCAGTTCGAATAACTCCAGAAAATTCCGCTCCAGCTCGATGTCAATAGATGAGTGATGCTTTTTCCACGAACAATTAAAACTAACTCGTGTGTCTTTTTTCGTCGACCAATGCCAACGGAGAAATGCGTGCGCTCGATCAAGCCCATTTGAGTTAATTTGTTGCGTTAAACAACTTATTTAAGATTTTATGGCGAGCAGAGCGCGGTTAACTGCAATTTCTAATTGACCCAAATGACCATTCATGATCATAATAGAGATTGGTACGTGACGCTTTGTACTCATCTCACGTACGCATGCTTCAATTTCTTCCACTGTTTCACCAATTAAAATCAAATAATTAATCTCTCCGTTGCTGTTGTTACTTTTTTCGCAAAGATGATTTTTTTTTCTCTGTATTTCAAATCATGTTATAAAATATTGTTTGGTTTTTTTCATTGCAGAATTCAGCGTCTCATTCTTCATCGTCCGAGGTCGATGAGGGTCCGGCAGCCAAATTAGCACGATTCACTAATGATTTGATTGCCGAGAATCATCAACGGAGATCGATCAACCCGAACCAATCGAAACGAAAATTATACGAATCAACTGACGGAAACGCATCTGATGATGATGTAAGTTTTGCTGTTGCCAGCAAAATCTAATTTGAACGTTGCTAAACTTTTTTTCCACTTGATTGCTGAACTCTTGTTTTTCACTCTGTAGGATGATTGCCGATTTCCGAGCTACTTCGATAAAACAGTAATCAATGTGCAAACGAATGGTTTTGATGCTGATTCAGAAGGAAGCGACAGTGAATTAATACCCAAGATGAACAACATGGTTGAAGAACTATCAGCAAACAGTAAGTTGGAATAGATTGGATCATTGTGAACATGTATCGATATTTAGTTTGATTTTTTTTTTGTTTCAGCATCAACAGACAATAACGACAACCCCTTGAATGCATCGAACAAATCAGAAGGAATGATGCAAAATAAAACCAACGATTTGTATGGAACGAAATCGGCTTCGTTGCCACCGACACCAAGCAAACAAATGGCAGGCGTCAAACGTCAGCGAAAAGTCGATGCAACGAAATTCAATCGATCGAATCGTGAATCGAAAAATTGCGGAACATTTTATTTCAAACATTCAGACACCGAACCAGAAACTGGCAGCATCAAGCACAACGATTGGTCGTCACAAGATGCAACCAGCGAAGTTTGTTCGGAAGAAGAATGGGAATATTCGAAGGGCAGCGATGTCAATGGTAACACATCAAACGGCCATGAAGATTCCGTGGATAATGAACATTTGGCCGATTTATCGATTCAAGTGAATGTCAATGACACCGCTTTGTTCGATACCGTTGATAGTCCATTCGCCGATAAACAGGTACAAATCGATGGACAAATATCTATCTCCATCTTTTTTTCATTAGACATGATAGAATTCATGTCATCAGAAACATTCTTCTAAAATATAAACGATTTGTTTTCAACTAAGGTATGTGAAAATGAGAAATTGGAGCAACAAATACAGTCAACTCCTGTGTCAGTTGCCAGCAAATCATCTGTCGAAAGGAAAATTTATAAGGAAATCGCAAAGGTAAATATGGTTTGGCAATTGAGATTAATTTTCCATAATTCGATTGAAAAAACTGCATTTTTAATTAAAAATTCTTTTGAAATAAAGAACAAAAAACCTGAAAAAATGTTCTCCGCAAAAGATCCTAACATTCCAATTTTTTTCCACTCCTAGGCTTATTCAAAAGAAAGCATTCAACAATTGGTGATGGGTGCTGAAAATTTGGTGCGTGATGAACTCTCGAAAACGCCCGTTCGCAGCCGTCGTCAATCGGCCGATGCACAAATTTCCGCGCGAAAAACCGTTCACTCGTTGAACAGCTCAAAATTCAAGCGTGTTGAGCATTGGCTCCAGAATCAAAGCCAGTCGAAACCAACATTAATGGTGCCAACGTCCAACACTGATGGCGAAGCTTCATGCGAATACACCACCGAATCTGATGCTCGAGACTCGGATGGTTCTGAAGGTTTGGCTGATTCCGTGGCAACGACATGTTTGCAAGCAAACGGAAACAAATCGCAGTGTACATCAACCGAGGTGATCGCAAGTTCGATCGATTTGGTGAAAGAATCACCAGAAAGTTGTCCATCGAGCAAAGTTGTACCACGTGCCAATCGCCGTAATTCAGAGCGTCCAGTATCAGTCTCTTGCATATCTCAGCTCACGAAGCAAATTCCGACAAACTGTTCATCCGATGATGCCAATAATCAAGGCCTAGCCAATCACTCGATCAGCGAATCAGCATTGCACACGCTAAACATTGGTTCGCAATCGAGTTTGCGCATGAAGAGCTCCGACAGTAAGAATTCGTTGAAGAAACGTCGCATGCGCTTGAAGAAGAAACAACGCAGCGAATCCGGTTCAAATGCTTCAGAAGCAAGTGCCGACAATCGCCGTGGTAGCTACAATTGTCTGATGAAATCAGAATCATTCTCAAGCAATGTGGTGATCAAAGAAACACAAACGATTACCGTTGAGAGTGTCGCCGTTGAAGCGGACAATGAAGAAGAAATCACATTGCCGAAACCGAATTTCCAACTTGGCGCATGCACAACAAACATGTTCAATTCGACGCATTTGGGCAATTTGGCACCACTTGCCTTCTACAATTTGGATGGAAATGCCAACAATCGCGAATTGAGCTTCACTGGCACCGAAGACAACAGCAACGTATCCGAACAGATCGATCAAGTTTGGGATGATTACCAGGAGAAATACTTGTCTGAGGCGTACTCAGAAGGGCGCGATTCGGATGCAGCACGAAAATTGCTTGAATTCGGCGATGATTATCGAAATTTTATTGATTCACAATCGGATTGTTGCTCATCGTTGTCTGCTGCCAACAATTTGGATTCTATGTCGCCTCCAAGAGGTCGGAAACCAATTGGCAACGTGCAAGTGATCAACAAATCGGCCAGCAAATCACCGTCCGACGAAGATAATGCCATGCGAAAACGACGAGCCTTCGAAATTGAATGGCGTCGCCGAACACATGCTGAAAGTCATCGCAAACCGTTTACTGAAGGTATGTTCAATTGCAAATTTTTCACGTAATTTTCTTAGAATCAAAACAAAGAATTACTTTTTGTAGCGTTAATTTTCCATCTTAAAAATGCCTGCCCATTTCGAAACCGAATAGACATTTTAATCCGAGAATGCAAAAGTGCAGCGCACGCTTCGATTCTCTCAGGAGATGGCACATATTTTTGCGAGCAAAACACCAATTTTCAGCTTTAAATAGTTGTAAAACATATTATCCCGTTAAGTGATATACACATTTTTCCGTTGCAATGTGAAAATTGTGTCTTTTGCTATGTGAGCGCGCGCACTTGACTCCATAAATATGGAGATGAATTATAATAATTTGTTGTTCAATTTATGTTAACAAGATGAATATCACGATTTGCGTGTTTTCCGCTCATTCATACACTTTGCATAACTTCTGAATCTCTCTCTCTCTCGTTCGTTATCCCGTCTCAACAAGACAGTTGTTAACGTTGATTTTCGTTGTTCTTGTTCATTCGTTCTTCTTCTTCTTCGTCGTCGTCTTCATTTTCGATCTTATGCAATGACTGGATGATCGACCAAATTGCCTCTGCTTTATATACTTTCTTCGGTTCAGAACGAGGCTCGCAATATTTTTCATTTATAATTTTCTCACGTTACTTTAATGATGATTAACTGGCTGCAGAAAAGTAGTTTCATTTCGATTAAGTCTGCTGTTTACTAGTCACAAACAATTTATAAGGTTTTTTTTTATCTTCGCTTGCCAAGAAATATGAACGTAAATGTTTTTAATTAATGAAAATGGTTTGAAATTTTCAGATCGACGCAAGTTATCCAACGACACCGTACTATCGCGCACATCTCATAAATCACAAAAGACTCCGAAGACCAACATCAGCCGCAAACTGGAAATGGAATTCAGCAAAGCATTTTTCGGCACCGAGCGTCGGCGCATCAAATCCAATGATAAAGAGATATCATCGTCATCGTCGGCAGCCAGCAGTGATGCCGAAGATGATTCGCACATTGATATCGTGCTCAATCAAAGCCGACGCGATCTTGAAAACACTCAAGCACTCAAAATTCGCCGACATCTCTTGCATTCGGAAGACTATGTAAGTCAATGAACTTTTTGTACAGTTTGTCTTATCGCAGAAAAAAAGTATTTTGTTACAAAAAATAATTACCGTAAATTCAATTTACTGTAATGTTGATGTAATTACTTGCTAAACGATGTTTAATATGATAACAATTTGCATATTTACAGACCGAAATAATTGCCACGTGCAGCGAGAATATGCGGTGCTTGAAAGCGGTCTTGCACAGTCCCGGCGGCTCGATGCTTTCCACGCGCCGACACGAATTGATCCGAGGTGAGTTGATCATTATTCCAGAATGTAACAGTGCCGATATTTGCCATTTTATGGAATTTGTCGGCGGTTCCGTCGTTGAATTTGTAGAATTTGTGATTTGTAATTGGCCATTGTCAAAAGTGCTATTGGAAATTATGAAAAATATTCGAACTTATCGCATTTTACCCGTAAGTCTGTAGGGCCAAAACTCGATCAAAATTTAAAAAAAAAGTGATTTCTTCTCTTTCGAATAAGTTAAAAGCACGAGTTGTTTGATCAAATGAGGTACAAAATAGAACTTAAAAGAAAACTTGTTGTAGATATTTAATATGTTAGTAAGACTTTTGTTAAGGCGTCTCCATTGACACAAATAAACTTGCGCTCGAATGATAAAAGGTCTTTTCATTGAGTGGAGCTACCCAATTCGGCACAACTACTGCAATAGGCCTGTGGTCTCTTCGTTCATTATATACGGAATCTATTTTCGATACATTTTTTTTTGTTTTGCTCAGAGTTTATTCACATTTTTCTGACATTTGTTTATCAAATAAAATTAATTCGAATTTTTCATCGAACTTCAGTTCATCTCACATTTCCGTTGAGGAAATAAGAAAACTCTTATAACTCTTGATATCAACTCATTGCACGCTTCGAAAATCTTTTTTTATCCACGCCGACACCTTTGGTTGTCGCTTCATTTTGAACGCAGCAAAATAGAAATAAAAACAAGCGTAGTTTATGCATTTGAAATGTGTTGTAAATGGCGCAATTTGTCGAGGCACGTCGTTTGACTTCGTGAGCTTAGATCTTGTCGAGTGATACTTGAACTTCAATTACACCGCCACTAAGACGCTGCTAACGAGAATGTTGTACAATTACAAAAGTTACGGATGATATGTTAAGTTCTTGTTTTTTTTTTTTCATTCTATTTTCTGTTGGTATTAAACTGGTTCTAAGCTGAAACAAGAAAAGAAAACAAAAAGAAAGAAAATAAATAGAGCGAAACCAATTCCGTAGGAAAAGTGTCAATGTACGGGCACACGTAATCGAGCTATTAAATTACCTACTGCTACTTATACGGTAAAAAAGAGCCAAGTAAAAGGCATGCAGTTAATTCGAGACGGTTAACGAATTAAGTCAAAACAAATTGTTTCGAATGGAAAAACCATTTGATACGTTTCGTTTGAAGAAATTAATGCTTTCAAAATCGATTCGACACATTTGTATAATTTTTCTATAATTAAATAGAAATTCCGAGTGAATAAATGCACTCTCTCTCTCTCTCTGTGTGTTTGCTAATTTTCGCGAATGCTTTCTTTCACACTCTTCTAAATTCGCAACCTTTTTTTCTCTTCCGTAATCATTTGCAATCTGCAATTCATTGTGGTATCAGCGAATTATGCGCATTTCTTGTATCGTTCATATTAATTAAGTTGACTCGATATGCTAATTTATTCGATTCCCATGAATAAAAACCGTCGATGATGGAAGCTGTCGTAAATCAAACCAATAGGGCCAATTGATCATCGGCACCATAAAGAAGCCGGCAAAAGAAACTGCTTCGCTTTTTCTCTAGCAAAACTCGACGAAAAAATAAACTGATTGCAAAAAGAAGGCCAACCCCAATAAAACAAAAGAATAATGCTTTTGTTATCCGCAATTTTGTGCTGTTACTTTTTCTAAATGAACATTTTTCACGCTATGCATTCGACTACCGTGTGTGCGGCACACACAGTTGGAATTACGATGGTAACCGCTTTAATACACTAGTCGTCGCGCCAGCCAATTCTATAATGATCCGATTGTCGTGTGCTTCACGGCATGTCAGTGTGTGTGTGCATTTTGTCGTGGAAGAGAGAAACTAAAAATTAAGCGTTTTTTTTTTCTTTGAATGTATGTAATAGTCTCGCTCTCTTGCCAATAATAAATGAACAATATTCTCGTGTACGAACACATTTAAAATAAAAACAACTACGTTGTTCAGAGCGAGAGAGTTAATCTAGTCGCGGCATAGAAACACAACTACTCATCAGCTTAGCTGGCAACATATGACCGTGTATTGTTGATTTGTTTGTGGGCACACATCGAAACAGGCCGCTTGCTTTCTCGCATCTCGCACACCATCATACATCGATGTGTCGTTTTTTTCTTCTTCTTCATCGTTCGTTCGCTTATTTGGCTTCATGGGGTTTTTTTTTCTCTCATTCGACAGCGCGTAAAAAACAGAAACACAAACCGTAGTATTTAGTTATCATTTAGTGCGGTGCGCGAATCAGTTGTTGAACTGCGCTTTTACTACGTATTTTATTTCTGTTTTTAGTCTATAGAAAAGAGTGAAAAACGTATTTCATTAGGAGAATCCATTGAAAAGATTTTCGGTTGCATCTGAGTGTACCAAGAGAGAAGAAACAGTGTTTTCCCTATTCGATTCAGTGTGCGACTGCTAAAAATAGCCGATTTCGGTCAATTTATTTGACCGACTGAACACTTAAACGTTGTGCCAAATTTTCTTCTTCGATATCGGCATTTGAAAACAAATCAATCTGGTGAATAAAGAGAAAAAAGCTTAATTATAGTGATTTGTGTTGTTGCCATCCGGCCGATGCTTATGTTTAATTGAGGTTGAGCCATAAATCAATCGCTTTGCGAAACGATTCTATTATGTTTTAACCCACAAAGAACCCAACCGATGCAAAAGGTGTTGGTGTTTGCACATATTGTTGAAATTGTGAAAAGTAAATTGTGATTTTTTTGTTGGTCGTTCGTTCGTTCGTTCAAATTACGTCATTTTTCTCCATTGCATTTGCAATCGGTACTCCCGCTCTGGCTAATTAACATCTGGCTTTCGAATTTAAGCCTCAATATGGACAATCTTCTTTGAGGCAAATATTTACGTCGTGCTGCGAGAGTATTTTTGTAGCAAAACATACACAACCCAGACACTAAAAAAGCCTTTCAGTCGAGGTAATGATTCGATGCGAATACACAGCGAATTGAAAAAACAGAAAGTACGCGGAAAGAAAAAACGCGAAAAAAAATTAATGCACAGACGTGAAACTGAAGGTCAACGGTGATTTCACCAATATTTTTGGCGACATAAACTATTGTGAAATAAACCTAAATGTCTACCATGAATGATCTCAGCTCAGACTTCTGTAGCTAAAAAGATATGCTCTCAGTTGAAAAATAGAAATAAATTCATGGCGATTTCAAGGGTTTTAAATTTCAAACGGTGACAATGAATAAAAAGTGTTGATTAGTGACAAAAATGAAATATGAAATCGACACATGCCAGCAATCAATCAAAAAGGTTATCAGAAATCAAATGCATGTATGAACGATAGCATTAGGCGGTCTAATCAAACGCTGAAAAAACATTCACTACTATTGTTCGGTTCACCGAATGCGGCGCAGTTAAGGCATTCTCAAGTCGTTACGAGTACTTAATTTGTGTAAATCACATAATATTGCGAATTGTGAATAAGTGATTTGATTTATGGTTTTTCCTGTTCAAGCTACCTATTTTCCATACAATAATCGAAGCGTATGTTTTGCGAAGACGAACGGTGTAAATCGAATTGTCACCAATATACCGTAATTACAGGCAGCAAATTTTAAAAATAAAAAAGAACGAACGTTTCATGAATATTTGATTGCGACGCGTGGATCGCGAGCTCAAGTGAATTCAGCGCAAAAAGAGAAAAACAAAATTCAATCATACATGATGCAAGGCATGACAAAATATGTACGTGCAACAACGAATTGAATTGTGAACAAGAAAAAGAAAAATCGAAACAAAGAGCGAACGTAAAAAAAAGTCTATTGAATCGCGGTGTTCAGGCGAATGAGCAACAGCAAGAGAGAGAGAGAGAAAAGTAAACAGAATATAACGACTGAGGAGAGAACAATGGCTGTGGATATTGCAATCCAAACAGATGCTATAAAATGCCGAGGTAATTTTCTTATGGTTTGCTATTCCAATTGCGATGAGATGCGCGTGTGACTTGTGTGCTTCTTACATTTTTATTCCTTGTTGTTGTCGTTTGGATGTAAGTCAATAATTTGAAGATCAATCAAATTCCATTCATTTTTGTTGGGTTTCTTTTCTGAGTGTATCTCATGTCGTGTCAAATCCATTTGCGTGTGTGCGTGTGTGTATTTGGGTGTGCAGAATGTGCATTGAAACATCAAGCCAATCGACAAAATCTTGGGAGTTTGCGAGCTCGCGACAAAAACAACAACGACTCGATGTTAATTCGATTGATTTCATTTCCGTTTTGGTGAAATTGACAGCGAAACCGAAGTGGTTTCGCTTGCTTCTTTTCCGCTTATGCAATTCAATATTTTATTATGTTTAATCATATTAATTTGATAAATCGAATGAGTAACTACTATTAAATTGTGTCAGTTTTGCTGTGCCCCCTCGATGAATTTGCTTGACATCTTTGACAGTTGGCTTCAATGCCACAACTGAAAAATGTCAACAAGACGACGACGACGACGCAGGGAGAGAGAGAGAGGAACAGCGAAGAAGTCGAGGGGAATGTAATAATAGATTGCATGTATGAATGAACATGAACACACTTCATGGCAATTTTATGCATGCGATTTCAATCAATTTGAATGCTGATGCTGAAGCAATTGCCAGCTAATGTCTAAAACACTAACAACTTTATGATGGAATGTCGCGAACCCTAACTAACTCGTTTACCGTAGCGACTTTCTTGGATTGCTGCATTGTCATCAGTGGCAAATGAGCGAGAAAGAGAGAAAAATCTTTAGCAACACAGACAAGAAAAAGAAACACCGATTCCATTTGAGTGAACACATGCATTCACATAAACCAGAATGGCAATCATAAAATATAACATATCGTTTGCGATTCGAATGTATCTCTTGCTCCCATCAAAATGAGAACATGGGCTATTTTGCATAATAATTAAAATCAACTTCAAGTCAGTGACAGCAGCAGTGCCGTCGTCTTTGTTGAATTGAGCAGATTAATATGAATTCCGAAATCAGAACGAACCATAAAAATGAAGAGAGGCATAATTTTGTCACTAAAACACACACTCGTTTTAAACGGTTTCTTCCACTTATGCATACGTACTCAATTGAGAACGTGTCACATGTGACGAAAAATCTCGGTTATCTTTCGCTCTAATTATACTCATTATGAGCACGAGATAAGTTCAAGGTGACAATTTTTGGGAATTTTGGTAGATTTGCATTGTAATCGGAATGGTTTACAGCCTAATTACAACACTCCAAAATGGTTTATACGCGTGACTCGTCAATTAAAATGCAGGAAAAGACGAATTGGGGAATGATTCCATCGCCAAAAGTGATTGTAACATATCAATAACAACAAGCGTGTCAATTCATTACGTTTACATCTTGTTTTGGTTATCGGTCAGGCAGCAATTCAATAGAAGAAGTCGCTTCGAATTGTATATTCATTGATTTAAAATTATTTGTATAATTTGTACAAACTCATTCGTTTTGCTCAGTTGAGCATTCATTTCGTACATGCAGTTGTCTTCCCTTCGAATGAAGCCAATGAACTCGATCGCAATCTTTTCTTTTTCAACATTTTAGTTATTCGATTTAGTTTCCCAAATGAAAATATCACAACACAAAAACGCTGTCCGAAACGAATTCAACCGAAGAAAGTTTTTTTGTTCACATGTGAAATAACCACGCAACCTTTTATATTGTTCATGTGCTTGCCACTGGTCGATCTTTTATCAACTTAATTCACTTTTCAGCTTTGAAAGTGCATTTTTTCCATCATCATTATGTTCATCTAACTGCATCTAAAATTCGTGTAAAAATGGCATGAGTGAAATTTATAAAAAACACGCGCGCTATTCACTGAGCATATTCTGTGGATAAAAATGTGCAGCCTGTCTTTCTAATACGATTTTTTTCCATTTTGCTCTGCTCTTTAGTCATTTTCCAAACATTTTTTTTTTTCATTACGCATATCGTGATTCATGAATTGAATAGTTGTAGCATAGTGTAATTCACATTGATATCTCATGCATAGCATTTAAAAACTCGTTGCGTTTTAACTGTTCGTTTTCACATTTTTTTTCTGCGTTTTGGTCGTCCACATTCGAAAACATTACATACAACATTTTTATTCTGTGATTAAAATGAAAAGTAAATAATTATTTTATTCAATCATTTGTTTTATGACTGACGGTTTTTTTATCGCACCATTTACACGATACACACATATACTTGCAGAGTTGCTTTCGTCTTGGGAAAGTTTGTTGCATTGGAGCGAAAACGAATCATTTGTGAAACAATCGCAAGAGGAGATGGCCGCACTTGTCGACAAATTAAATAAAATCGGAACATCGGAAGCGAACCTTGATACGGATTCAGCCATTCAGTTTGCCATCCAGGAAACAAAGGTGAGATGTGGTTTAATTTTAATTTATTTAAACGAAAAAAGATGTTTTAAGAGGAAAGAGACATTCGAGTAAGAAAATTGCATCAAATTCCAAATAGAAAAAATCGAAGTATAAAAAACAGTTTTTTTGTGCAAGAGAAAACCTTCTGGGATGAGCTCGATATACCAAACCAATTAAATTCCTGGTCAAAGCAAAAATTGGTTCATTTCATTTTGACGTCAGCATAAATACGGTCTCATCACCGGATGAATTCCTTTCAATCGATCACATAAAATGTTGTGCTGAAAATGTGAGTTCATTTCGTGTTTTCATCGAAATTATCCCGTTGCGGTTGTGAGTGTGTTTTGTATCAGCCCAGTTTAATCATCGTAAATTTGGTTTTTATGTCTCTACCGACCGGAAAGAGAATGGCAGAGCGAGTGAGAGTGTGAGAGAGAAAACGATGTATGTGCATTTACTATTTATTGGTTTTGTCACCGAGTGTCGAACGCTTCAATTTGCTGTTTTGTTAATGCTAAAATCGATGTAACAACATTATTATCAGTAGCACCAGCATCATGGAATGCGATAGTGTGTATCAATGTTATAAATACAATTGAAAAGTGCTGTTTCTGCACCCAAAAACCACACACTTGCAATAAACATACTTATGGATCGGGCTCCGAAGTTCACTTTCTTTTTCAATAAATGATTTTTTTTTCTCGTTCGTTTCGGAGCTGAATTATCTGTGTTTCTCTCGTTCGCTGCAGCAATAAAACTGTACTGAAACACCAAAATGCTATTTCCATCCACCGTCACTGGACGTTTCAGTCGCACTATAAAATAACCGAACGGTTAGAAACAAAGCAAATGTGTATGGTTTTTTTTTGCAGCAGCAGCAGTAGCCCTATCGGGAAGGGAATTAGATGGTGGACTTTTTACGATTTCATAGCAACGTGACATCTTGCACTCAAGCCGAATCGAATGTATTTTTATAGTGGTATTTGACAAGCCGCGAACTGGACATAATTCATCTCATTTCATTCCATTTTGGAATCCAAAAATTGACTGTTTTGGTCGCATCTATTTTCGGTATTGAAATGATAGAAATAAAAATTGGCTAAGCTAACGTATTTGGCTGCCGTTTCATTAGAAATTGTTTAAAATATCACATAGTTTACGACAACTTGGACCAAAATAATCATCGAACTATTGTGGCCAAGCCATGGAATTATTATTCATTAGAAAGTTTTTCATATCTCAATTAAGCTTTCTTCGTCGGATTATGGTGATTATTATGAGCCGGAGGAAAACGAAATATAGATATGAAGAAATGACAATAAACGGGAAAAAATCTCTTAATAAGCGGTACAAACATCATATTCGGCTGGTGTGTTTCATTAGTTGTGCTTTGCTTATTTTGTGGAAATGTTGTTGACATAGTACATTCGGAATGAGTGCCGTGTAAGCGAGAACAAGTAATACATATTAATATAGCAAAAATCTATATGATAAATGATTGAAGATAGAAGGAAATGTGGGCCGGGGCCGGAATATGCTGCCTTTTTTTTGTCTATATCAGAAATTCTGATTCAGAATGGAGAGAAAAAAAATTTACATGAAAATACATTATTTCGGTGGAATCTTTGTAAACTTATGAAATGAAGAATATTAAGGTAAAACACGTGACTTGAATACTGTCGATGCGACTCTCGCTTTTCACTTCGTTCCTCATATGACGATGACGATGGTTGTTGGTGGTGTGCAGCAGCGGCGATAATAATAATAATAATAGCATGTCAAAATTGCGCTGTATGTGTCGTTTCATGCGTGTATTTGTTTGTGGAAAAACGAAGAACCCTTCGAATGAACGGGCGTTGATTAGCAGAAGAATAAGAGCTGGCGACACCCAGTTAATAGAAAAATATTATTTAAAGCACATACGAAATTGAGCCATCATTGTCATTAAAATTACTGTCATTTCATTCGACGATATTAGGCAGTGGCGCAAATGCATTCATTATTTCCACCAGGCAAGACATTGTTCGGTTCTTCAACCTCACTTGTGATATCAACATACATTCTGTTGGCCTTCTACTCGTATTACATTTCTCTATTGGATTTGGCTCGAAATTCACGCGTATTGATTTTATGGCTGCTGAACGATATTTAATTAATTCAGTTTGGAAGAAAGTTTTCCATCACTTGAGAGAGGAATGCTGCCGAACGGAACTATTTCATGTCTGATCACAAGTGAAATCATTAGGACTCATAAATCATAAAAATGTCGTTTAAATTTGGAGCAAAATGCAATTAAACCGCTTTAACTTCTCATGCCCCTATATGACTTTAAGTGTTGGTTTTCTCGCAATAGACAACAACATGCTGGCCCCAATTAAGAGCAATATCATAACTGTAAATGTGGTTTTAGATTTGTTCCGCAAATCCAGTCATATTTTTCCTGGAACATCGAATTTTGTGGGTGACTTGATTCTGCATACGTGCTCGACTAACACTGTTCACTGTGTGTTGCACAAGCAGCTATATATGTAAAATCGAAGGAGAAAAAAAATGAACAACAACACAATAAAATCGTCGAACAAAAACAATGGGAAACGGGAACCGTCCCCATCTCCCCAATTATTTCACTATCAAATGCAATAAATAACACATGGCGACACCAAACATATGTCAAATATGTGTAATACTTGTTGTAAGTTGGTGATTGTTCGGCAAGTTTGGAGGATGCAATACACCCCCGTGTATATATGCAAAGTGGTGATGTAACGGAAGCGATACGGAATTCCATACGAACACGTCGCCGAACACCATCGACATCACGCTGCGAAACAACTGACAAATTCCGGCTACACTCATTCCTATCGACTCTGAATCCAGCATCAATGATAAATTGAAAAATTTTGAAGGCACATAAATAAATTTCCGTTGATTCAAATAATAAAAGGGGTTCTCAAGTCAATAGTTCAATCATTTTGGGCGTTTGATGTACTTTTTGTTTTGAATTCGATTTTCTTTTTAATCAGATCTCTTTCCATTCAATTTAATTTCCCAATTCGAATTTTTTTTTGCAGGACGAAAAGGCCCAATTGCAGACATATCGTTCGTCGATGTTGCGTCTCAATGCATCCGTTCACAGTTGGTTGACGCGTCACGAAAAACGTAAACAAATCGAAACAACATTGAATAAAACCACCATCGAAACGGTCAGCTCAAGTGGAAATCAAGATGAAAACGGTAATTCGGCCGAGGATTCAACACTTGAATCGTCTACGATTACAATCAAAGAAGTATCAACGTCAAATGGTGTTGGCACTTCAATCGATGCTGACGATTGTGCGCTTAATGAAGAACTTCACAAACAACTGAAAAACGAAGTTGGAAACATGTACAAGGTTTGGGACGAAGCCGACGAGAGGTAAGTTTCAAATGATTCTTTTTTTCCTGTATCAAGTTGATTGTATCTACTTCCTTAAGTGACATTTATTTGATGTGTTTGTCAACAATGGTACTCGATCGAGAAATAGATATATGTGTCGGACCAGGGTTATCAGGTCAAAACTTCACACCATCCATTTCCTTCGATTAGTTCATATTATTGCCATCGATTTGAATGATGAAAAAGAAAGAAAAACTTTGCAAATCAAAATCGGATGTAGAGCATTCCGTTAATATCAAATGGGTGGATTGCGTATGTTTTTGTTGATTTAACCGTCGAAATGATGAAAACGCTGTGCGGCAATTTAATGAAAAATCAACACGATTGAAATGAACAGCCGCTCTACGAATGTGTGCGAAAATGGCCGACGGCCGAATCAGAAGCAATAAATCTCAATTTTCATTGTGAAAATTTGGATGTGTGTCGGTGCGCGCGCGCTCGCCAGCGACACACAACGCAATCGGACACAATCATTTGATTATATACTGTGTGAAAATCCGTATCGAAGAAGAGGGTTCGTAGCGTTGATATGATGCCGTGCCCTCTAACAACAATACCAACCATATAAATACACTGGCCATAGATTGGTCCCACGTTTTTTTCTTTCTTCTTTCCATTCTTTGTCAACTCCTGCATCATTTGGCAATTTCACTGTGCTCTTTTATTTGAAGAAAAACCGCTCGACGCGTTGAGCACGTCGTCCAAGTCGAACTGTATAATAGGTTAGGTACTGTAACATTACCTCTATTTGTCTGCAATGCCAATTTCACTCCCTTCGTCATTGTGTTTGCACAAGTTGTATTGTTGTTTTTCCTCTGCAAGTTTTTTTTTCGCATCTTTTCGAATACCCGTGAATTTGTTTCGTCTCTTGCTCGAGGCAACGAATATTAACTGGGCTGTCAGATAACGAAATAATATTTGTTTGAGCCGAAGAAAAATCGAGTATTTATGGAAATTACATTGTATTAAATAGCGAAAGAGAAAATGTTAATTTCTATTATTGCACAGCATTTTGGAGTGAAACGAAAACCAATTTTGCAACCAACAAGTGATATATGATGAACGCAATCACTAACAACGGCATTTGTTGCCGAAGAAGAAATTAAACAACGACGACATGGTCACCGAAATGCGTTCGGGTGTTGTGAATCATTTTTCTTGTGTTCACATAAACTTTGATCAAAGAATATGACCACCGCGTGCAGCTCAAATAATTATTGACAAATCCAAAACAAATTCGAATGAGATGGTCGAGAGGAGAGCTCGGCGAACTGCAAGCAAACCCAAACACTTTCACATTGTGCCCAGAGAACCATAAATTCACTACTACTAATACGCAGTCGAAAGGCTGAAGCGAAGAAAAGGAAAAAAAATGAGTGCGCCAGTTTTATCTGACGTGGAAAAGTTTTGTTTATGCGACCGAGAAATTGCACAACCGAACAGTAATAAATTATGAAACTATCACAAGACGAAAGTCCGAGATATTGTGTTTGAAGCGAACACACAAACACACACCATATGTTACAGCACGCATTCACATTGACTTTGACCATCTTTGGGCGCCCTCGATACTCTAAGCTCCAACAATTTTTCATTTTTCCCGTTTTTCTAATAATTCGCTCTTTTCATTTTCTTCTTATTCTCTCACTCTCGTCCGCTCTTCTTCGCCCTTTCTCTCCAGCTCACACTGTCTCTTTTTCGCTCGTCACTGTCTACATGCGTCCAGCACTTTGGCCAGCTGGACCATTTAAATTGATATATGCCTTTTTTATCATCCATTTACGGAAAAAAAATTGCCAAATGACTGTGAGTGTATCGGTTTTATTTTGAAAGCAAATGCAGCGAGAAACAAAGAAGAAGAGAGAGAGAGATACCAATATCCGAGCACAAATAGAATGAAATTGCTCAACATTTCATTCTGATGACTTTTTTATGCTAAAACAATGTCCATAATGATTTTATTACCAGATTGAATAGAAAAGCGCATTAAATAAGTCGGATCAACACACGCACCCGCTTTCCGGAATGATGATGCATTTCGGTCAGTGGCGATGTATTTGTGTGTGTAGTTTTGACACGGTTCAAAGGGACACTCACAAAATATGCTGTATTATGTAATATGTTTTTAATATTTGTGTCGCTTTTTACAGTAAAAATGGATTTGGGTGCGTGCGGTGCACAATGCTCACACAACACCCAAGCTATGATATTCCGTATGTCATAATTTCAAACTGTCCATATCATTTTATTCCCATTGCGGTTGAATTATTATGGGTGTCTAAAAACTAATACAAACCGTTGCCGCTTATTTGCTTCTTCTTATTTCTCTCTTCGCAATCAGCCAATCTTGATGTCATACTATGCCTCTACCACACAACATGCCAATATTTTTTTGCCTGGGTTTATCGTAAAATCAAAAGAAACCGACAGCGGAAGAAAAATGTGTACAAGGCAAATCCCTCGCCGTACACATCCATAAAACATCATTTGATTAGGTTAAATTATTTGGAAACTTTGTGTGTTGATTCGATTACATTTTTCTTCGTTTGACAACTATCACTCACATTTGGCCGCACCGCCACATACGAGTCAATCATCTCAATTTTTGGCATAATTTCGACATTTATTCCCATAATTTCCTCGACCGTACTAAATAATTTTCCACCAAATTTACTCTCTCCGCATCGTAAATCGGAACAATCATTTCGAATAGAAATTCCTAAATTGTTGCCGGTCCATGGTTTATTGCGTGTGTATTTTTCTGTTGCCATTCATACATGGAAATAATATTTCACTTTTTTCTTCTATTTTCAGAGTAAAAAATCGCTTGGAATCGCTAACCACATCGTTGATTGCATGGAAACAGTTCGAGAACGGAATCAACGAATTTAAAGAGGTGCTGGGCAAAGACACAGGTGCATTGAAACGTTTGACCGGCGCATTGGAAATGGGCACTGATGTGATTAGCAATAATTTGGCGTACGATGTGAAGGAAGTGGCAAAGCGTCTGTCGGAGAAAATGGACAATCAAAATTCTATGGCTACAACAACCGCACAACAGGTACAGTATCTCTATTGCTCTCCTTCTCACCTTTTCTCCGTCTCTCTCCCTCCACTAACGACTATTTAGTTTTACATCAATGACATGATCACGCGTGAAAGAGAAATAAACATAACACGCTCAGGTGAGAGAGAGCGAAAAAAAGGAATATGGCCGACGGTTGCATTGTCTGCACCGAAGATTCGGTTCGATGTACGTGCCACGTGAAAATCGATAATATTTTGACCGTTTTCAAGGTGCCATTAGACTTTTCACGCAGAGATTCTTCTGCCTTCGAATGCAATTCAAACGGACGAGCAACAATATCCATGGTTTTGCGCACGTAAATTTCTCGAACATACCCGCCAAATGTGTATATAGCGCTACCATATCGATTTTCACCGTTTGCTTTTAACGCACATGCTTCGTGAAAAAGATAGTGAAAAATGGTTCTAACGTGACTGAAATGCCAAATCAATGGCGGTTCGAGCTGAGGGAAAAAAACGAACACAATCCGATTTGCTCACAGATTTCCCAACGATTGGCTAGAAATACAATCTGGTACAACATGTATCGCGATGTTCTCCGTTCATCCATTGCAAGAATCGGAAAAATGGTTTGATTTTAATAATTTGGCACATTGAAACGAAGGAAATATCGAAATCGTTTTGGTCGAATGAAAACTAAAATTGAACATCAGTCGATTCAAATTGATTGGGTGGAATTTAATTAAAGAATTTCAATTTAAACTTGAATTTTTCGCGGTCTTCTAATCGTGATTTGAAAATTCAAAAATTTGGATCAAGTATCGGTTGAGATCACAACGAAATCCTTCAATTAAGAGAAATTTCTATTCTTGGCAACATCTGAATTTATCTTTTGTCACATGACTCCAATGAAGGAAAAATTAACGTCAACACCGAAATAACCGTAAAAAGCCGTACAAATGAGTCCTCATGACCTCTCATAACGATGCTATGATGTCGAATAAAAGATTGCCGCATATACAGTAAATAAGTTAATGGTTTCATTGACAAGTAGTGTACTAGGGGGAACTATCATTTTTTTTATCGAAGAAATTCATTAATTTCGGTGTGTTTTAGGAGATATTCACTCCTATTCACTATTATCTAGAGAATATCCACTCATATCCACTCATATTCACAGATATTCGGTGTTTCTTATTTTGACAGTTCGGACGTTCTCACCAGCCGCCATTTTGGGTTTTTTTTTCATCTAAATGTATTCACGTATATTCAAAGTATTTTCGAAAATTCTATGAGAAAATATCTATAATATTCAAAAATATTCACAAAAATTCACGGTTTTAAAATTCGAATGAAGCCCCTGGGTAGTTTAATTGACACTTCACTTATTACACTTACGTTTTTAATTCAAAAGAATGAACTGAAATATTGATTTTTTTCCTAAATTTGTCGGTAATTTAAAAAAGTTGAACTTTTCATTCAGTTCATATCTTTTATATTGAGAGAAACCTGACTGCCAGCGACATCTATGTGCCTTTCAGGCGCAATGTATTGGTATATGTTTGACAGATTGTCAAGAACCATTTCTAGCAAAGTTACAAACAAAAATCAGTTTGATATTTGGGGTATGATTCAGTTAAATAACGGTTTTATTTTAATTTCTTGGTAACTTTCATTTTATTAAATGATTATGATGTTCACAATTTTTTTAGAATTTTTTGGTGTGAATTTTATTGCAATTTGCAAGCTGACGACACTTCAGTACAAAATATCTTTTGGGTGCTTGCAGCGCCACGAACTCTCGTATCATTTTGTATTGAAATTTCGTTAGTTCATGAGTTCGCCGTAAATTTCGTCAAAACGTGTCGTCACTTTAGCAATTTGGAACAAATTAATTTATTTGTTCTTTCCAGTCATCGATAATTATATCAATGGTGTGATTGTAGTCGACGATGATGGGAATGACATAGTCGAGTCGCCCAATTCAACTGAGACCGTTATTGTGGTCACGCAAACACTTCAAAAAATGATCTTCAGAAAATATTTCTATGCCCGCCGATGTATTTTGTTTTGAAAAATGCACCGTTCCATTAATGCGAATACCGTTTTGCGAATTGTAAAACGCACTTTGGACAACAACATTGTGTGTTGGATTAATAAAAAATAATCGCAAATTGCCCAGTCCGTCGCCACGCAAGTCAAATCCATCGCCTACATAATCTCTCCACAATTTAACCACCGCATCGTCAGCACCAATACTCAAATCATTCTGTCGGAAATGGAATATTGTTGTTCGCCAATTCGCCCAAGTCACGTGCTGTAACAGCTCACCGCGATTCATCAAATCAATCAATGTGATTTCTGTATTAAAACCAAGGAAGAAAATCAAGCAAAAATGTAATTTTTGTCAAATATAAAATCTAAACTGTCCAGAAACGATTTTAGTGAAACAAATATCACCATGAAAAAAAAAATTGTAAAAAAGTAAAATAAAGACAATTCACTCACAATAATATGCTGGAGATAAAAAGAAAGTTGTTGTTCAGCTCGGAGCATCAAACGAAATGACCGAATCAAATGTGTGGTACGCTATTGATAGCTGTATGATTTTTTACAAAAACAATTGAATATAAAGCAAAAGATCACGTGACATTATATCGGTGTTGTATTAAATTCAGCAAATACGGTGTATGCGTGCATTACAACAATTAATAAACGCATTTTACACCACGTGGAACATGACGTCACACCCTAGGGGCTAACCACGGTTTTAAAAATAACCAATAATGATCGAATTTAACATTTTTTATCATTTAAAGAAATAAATTCCGATATGATCACATTTTGGTCGATTTTGCCCGATTTTTGCAGTAATTTTTTCGCTTTAACGAATGCATACTGTTCTAGAAGCGGGTTTTGGTGCATCCTCAGGATCGTTCAGAACTGCTCCCGATTCTGGAAGTGGGTTTCGGTTGATCTTCAGGATGGACCAGACTGGGTTTGACAATGCCCTGGCCCATCCTGAGGATCCACTTCCAGAACCGGGAGCAGTACTAAACGATCCTGAGGATCCACTAAAACCCACTTCCAGCATTTTTGAATCGGTAATGACGTCAGCACATCAAACGTTTATAGTCGATATTAAACGATAAAATTCAATATGTACAGATTTTTTCAATTTTTTACGGATGTCATTAAAATTGAGCGATAAAAACAGATTTTTTCAATAAAAAATCCGTGGTTAGCCCTTAGGTCACACCAATACTATTTGAGAGATATCATATGTACGCAAAGAAGACAATGTAGCATTTTATCATATCAACGACTGCTAGTGTCGAACGTAAATGCACGTAATTGCTGCATAATATTAAACGCACCCATTAATTTTTCATTGTTTTCCTATTAAGAATGGATGCGTTTAGTGTTTTGTGACATGACACTAACAGTCTCTGATCATATTGTATTATGGGTTTGCGTTAAATTTGAGTGTATTTTTTATACACATTCTTTGCCAGCGTTTTGCATGGATGGGAAGTCATTCCAAGACATGGATGTGAATTGTGAAGTCTTATTCCTATGAATTTTATTATTCGAATTTACAAATACGTTGACACATAACGCTAAAAAACGGTGCAATCAATAAATTCAAGAAAATAATATGCATGTAATTTTGTTACTTTTTATAAACTTTATTTGCATGATGTAAGCCAATTTTTTTATTCAAATTATTGTCATCGTTATCCTACAAAAACTGTTATCAATATTTAATGTAAATTGAACGATAATTCCATAAACAACATCTGAAATCATGCGATTAATATCCGAACCCTATCCTCTTTGTAACGAATATATTCAAAAACCGGTATATCTTTCAAACGCATACGCGAAGTCAAATAATTTAAATCTACCCATGGTCCGACGGTTCCAAATGAAATTATTCTCAATGTTTTGATTTTGTTGGCTAGTTCAACCACCTTTTCTAAATTATACACGCTATTAATAATTTCAATATCTTCTAACAATGGAAGAATGTTTGCAAATTCAGATGGGCTCACCAAATTAATATCATTTTCCCAAAGTCGCAATTTCACAATTGTCGGATGACCTTTGAGAAATTTGTGTAAAGTTTCGGCGGATCCAAAAATATCGCAATGACATGAAAATGTCGTAATTTGATCAAATGTGCGAGGGAAATTAAATTCCGGTGGAAATTTGTACCATTGACGCGTTAAGGTTAAATATGGATAATTCTATAAATAGAATGTTTTTACGTTTCCAAAATGGATTCGATTGTGTTGTAAGATTTGGTCGAATTCCCTACTAATTGTGAGTTTTAGTTCTTCAAGCGCTGGCAAACGTGCCATAGTTTGCAGTGTATTTAGATCTGGTGCCGTCATTAACTGCAACGCTCGAATCTGTGGATTCAAACGTAAAGTGGTACACATATCCGTTTTTTCGTCGTTCACACATAGCCTCTCTAAATGAGGAAAATCAGTTTCTATACCATGCATAGAGGATTTAGGGAATTCTGGATGATGACGAATATCCAAATCTCGTAACTGTGGAAATAAAACATTCCACAAACTCCTATTCAAAATATGATGGTTAGCTTTAAGTGTTTCTACTTTTAAAAATGGCTTCTTCAATTGGTCAAAATCACCTTTTATACATCCATGTGCATGGATCTCCTTCAACGACCCATGGCAACTTTCGTTTGCACGAGACCACAACCGTTCGTATGCAGTAATGTAAGATCTACTTAATGGCTTACTAAAATCAAAATAGTCATATTCATTGACATTGGTAATTCTTAAGAATGTGATGTGACTTCCAAAACAACGAAACAATTGGAAACAGGGTTTCAATGAGTCCAACTGTTGCCCTGTCTCCAGTTTTTGCATTAGTTCTGAATCTGCTGCGTTATTCCTTCGATAATATGCCAATCTCCAAACGTATTCTCGTTTGTAATACTCAATTTGTATTTTCGGCTGATATGTATATGCAAATTCGAAAGAAGCAGCTATTCTCAAGCGTTTATGGGAATCTGCAACGTTCAGCAAATCTTGTAGCTCCAAATACTTGAATATTTCTTCAAGACAGTCAATATTCACATCAGTTATCTTCGTTTGACGCCTCACTCTTTCTTCCGAAGCTTTCGCGTTGGAAATTGTTGATACGAGCTCCATGTTTACGTAAATGCCTGGAAAAAAGATTTCAAAAAATAAAATGTTTGCTAAAAATATTTGGATTTGGACCACTTACACAAATTAAAATATCTTTCTTTAAGAAAATATTTGCGTGGTATAGATTTTCTTGGGTAGAAAAACGTATTTTTTTCAAACTCAGATTGAAGACTGTTTCGAATGATGTTTTGTATTGTAATTGAGTGTTTATTTTACGGAACACGATGTTAACACTTCGAAGATAGGAATACGACTAGTTTATGAACATTAATACGAATCGTCCTCATGTTTTGTTGTTTCGTTTTAAGCCAAGCCCAAAAAGAAATACAATAACAAAATGCGAACGCATTTTGAAAACATTTCAACCTGCAAATTCGGGAAATATATAAAAGATTCTGTGATAAATTTGCAAAGTCTAAAAAAGTTAATCCGGTGGCTAAGTGACTAGTTAATCCCACGTTAATTACTCTAGAACAATACCCAACATAATCAATATTCAAAGTAAAAAGAAAACTAAGAGGTAGTTGGCATATTCATGGCTAGACAGATTTGTCTGTTAAGCCATTAAATATTTACTTAAAACCGGGTCTTCTACCTTTGTACTCATAAATGCAATGATGAAATGCCAATGTATCTTAAATCTTTTACTGCCTACATACTCGAGAAATAGTTCGAAGATTCTATAGAAAATTAGCAAAGTCTACCGAACGCACATATTGTGCTATCAATACATACTCGATTGACAAATAAATCCAGTCAAGGGTTTTCACTGGCTTGTCTTTTTGAAAGGAGTGATTGACATGGGCTGGATTGAATTCAAAAGTAAAAAAGCATTATATATGGTGCATTGGGAAACGAAGGAAATATCCGAATTTCTTTGGTCGAATGAAAACTAAAATCGGTCGATTTAATTTGATTGGATGCAATTTATTTTAAAAAAAATTCCAATTTAAAATTCAAGAAATAAGATTTCATAAAAATTGGACCAAGTTTCGGTTGAGATCACAATGAAATGACTCAATTTATAGAAACGTCTTAGAAGCATCTGAGTTTATTCTTCGTCAAATAATAACTCCAACGAAGGAAAAACTAACATAAACATCGAAATAGCCATAAAAAGCCATACAAATGAGTTCCTCATGACCTCTCATAACGGTGTTATGATGTCGAGTAAAAGATTGCTGCCGCATATCCAGTAAATAAGTTAATGGATTCATTGACAAAAATAAGCGTAGTCAATTTATGACAGGCGTTTAATTCATCTTCATTTAGTTTAATAGACACTCATTAACGCAAATTAATGTTATACACAAACTTTTTTTTCCATCATCGCTTTGACTTTCTGCACTTGACTGTGTGTATATTGATCGAGTATCGTTCGGCATGCACGCCACCAAAAATTAGCTAAACAAGGCGAACGTTGCTCATTTGTCGTCGGCATAAAGAGGGTGAGCGCTGAATAAGAGAGTGAGTGAGTGAGCTGAACAAGCGAACGGTATGAAGTGATGACGGAAACATTTGTTTTTGGTGTCGTTGTTTTCATCATTGACGCCACATGCTCGCTCTCTCCCGTTCGGGTAACACTCGCAATCAGAAGGTATTATGTAATAAAATGAATCAACCCCTTTTCCTCCTCGTACAGTAACAATCGGAATGTATTGCGGATACGTTTTGAGCGTATTTATTATAACGAAAATCATGGAAATATTCGCTTGAACGAGAGCGAGAGAGAATCGATTCTATTTCAAAGCGGGAGTACACCAGTTGCAGATCACTTCAAGTGTAATACATTTTGAGTTGCAAAATAACAACCGAATCAGCGGCCAATTGTATTGATTGCATTAGGTAAAACGGGTACTTTGTGTTGGCTGCTGCCACTGCCTGAACATGAATTGAAGAAGCATGAAAAATACATGGTTCATGTCGGTCTAACGCTAGCATGTTAACCGTTTCCCTGTGTTGTTGTGTTCTGTCGTGGTGATAAGTTGAATCACATCGGGGATTTGAGAATCACAATGTGAACAAATTTATCACACCATGCATCACACATTGCAATGGTGGGCCCGACTCGAGTAGCAGCAGCTACGGAAATGAGAATTATTATAATATTGCTGATTCACAAAATATAGCCAGCACGTAATCGAAGCAAATTTCGAAGACGAAGTGCAACTTTTTCTCCTTGTTCTTTATGATTATGTTTATTTTTTCGGTGTGTGCGGGTCATGCATTTGCAAGGGGAGTTTCGATCTTTTGTATTTATTTCCTCTTTTGCGTTGTGTCAATTTAGCCAACCATCAACTTGACCTCTAACTCAATTTACGTTTTCAATGGAAGCCAATAACTTTGTGTGCCAAATGCAAGAGCTGATTGAGATTCTTTACGCTTTTATTAACTCTCGAAAGCATTCGCTTCGAAAGAAAGTTCCAACACCTTCCAAACGAAATTCCACTTCCTCATGATGGAATCAATCGAATACGAACGCATCTAAATCAAGATCGAAATAATTTCAAAGGGAAACTTCTATAAATCATTGGATCAAAGCAATTGATGTCATTGCATTGTGCTGGCGTCGATCCCCCTTTTTTTCGACAGCACACAAAAAAACATCCTCGTTTTTTTTTCGCTTCGTTCATACACACAAATATTAATAACGAATTTCATTGTTCTCGCGCCGTATGTAGAACTATTCCGGCGGTACGTGTTTATTCCTCGAATTCAGTACTTGAGCCACGCAATAATATTCACTTAAAATGATTAAATTGAAACCATAATTTTAGATTATTGTCCAAACTGTTTTTGGTTGCAGTGGTTAAAATTTTCATTTCTTAATGTCTTTGGTCGGCCTTTTACGCTAATATCTTCAACTGAATTCACACTGAGCCACTGAAACATTGCGATGAATAATTCGTCTTGATATCGCAAATTTTACGCCCAACACAAAGAATGTGCCACGGAATCATTCAGTCCGATTGTTCAATTCAATGGGATAAGCAAAACACTATTTTGCATATAGAACGATTCAAATAAATTTGATATTTTTTTTTTGGTGTTCACTAGGCTTTGTTCAAACACACATTCCAAATAAAAAGGGATGAATAGAAAAATTCTGCTCGTTTGGTGGTAGAGCGATACAGAGTAACCATTCGATTTAATCAGTGAACTGTAAATGCACCGAAACAAAATAAATGGCTATTTTTGGTAGATTTGACACAAAATGAATGAAATAACATATTTAGCATCATTAATCAGCCTCAGCGGCGACTCTTCGAACTCCATTTTCATTTTCTGCACATCGCTCCAAGCGATTAAATGTAACAATATGTTATTGTTGAACTGAATTTCGCATGCAATTGAAGCGCAAAGATTATCTTGGCTGAATTTGCATGCGCTTCGGAAGGCTTATAAATGGCTTCGAATATGATTTTGCATACGAGGCTCGGTTTTTATTTTTCTAAGCAGAAAACAAACTAATCGTCCATACTTTGACTCTCTGGTCACGTTGTGGAAGACAGCACAGAAATCTTGTCATATGAAAGTGACAAACAAATTCTTAAGTTGAGCCGAAAATAAAATAATAAATCAAATGGCATTTATTCATTCGCAGGCATAATGGGATCGACTCTTCTCGAATCCAAATCAGTCAATTGAACAAATTCATATTAGAAAAAACAAAGTTCATTTTAGTTCTTTTTTCAAATGTTCAACTACTATTTATACTGTTTTTTATTTCTTGTAGACTTTAACATCACAGAAATTGAGCCACATTGGATCCATACCGTTCAATTTACCATCGAATGGTTCGTTGTCAGGTTCACTGTCAGACAGTGGCATTTCGGATGGTGGTTGCAGTTCAGACTATGGTCTGTCTGAGCGTGAGCGTCGTCTTGGTGCTCTTCGCCGATTGGCTAAACAATTGGAACAAGCCTTGGTTCCGGGAAGTGAAGCGCTCAATTCGATCAACCAACGCATGGAAATGGCCGAAGCTGAATTGCGTTCACTTCAAAAAACCTGTCGTGAATTGATTATCCGAACCGCTGCCTCAGCCCAACCGAATCAATTGGCAACAGCCAGTCAAATGAACGCATCCGCCATGTCGAATACAGTTGCTTCGCATTCGGCAGCAACCAACATCATTAATCAACAGCCAATCAATTTCCAAATTCCAATCATTAATGTGAAAGCGAAAACGGCAAAACGAACAACACCCAAGTAAGTAACCGAATCAAAGTAGTATTACTTTATTGGCCATTTTGGAATTAATTGTGAAAGTTCAAACTACGCACACTTGTAAAACCAACAGCGAATAATTTGTTTCATGCAAATTCACCAAAATGAAAAGATTTATTTTAATTTCCTAATTGGAAAACGATACCGCCAACGGGTCGATCTGATCTAATTTCCATTCGAATAAAGTTTTAATTCATCCATGACCTACGCGTTTGCCGTGTGTACCGCACGTCTTGGGCTTATTTAGTACCAAAGTAGAAGAAGATGTGCGCCTCTCATTTTGTTTGCCAATGAATTTTAATTAGATGCCAAGACGTCGAGTCATCTGAAGTGAGATCCGCTCTTAAAAGAGATACTGGTGTCGTATCGATAATTTCCCTGAGGGTGATATGTAAATTTTCTTTTAATAAAAACGAAGACGAAACCCAACGTGTAAAAGTGCTTAAAAATTGTCATTTGATGCTGGATAATCGTATGCAATTCGACGACGACGAATAAACGCAACAGCAAAAAACCAGACAGATTTATACAAACAATAAATATTTGCATTCAAATAAGAAAATTAACACAATCTTAAGTTGTTTTGGCGATTACGGTAATTCCTTGATGCAATTTGTCGAGTAAGACGCACTTAGGCACTTTTGCTCCTTGAAGCCACTGTCTTTTGAAATGTTAAAAAAATTCAGGAGTTTTTGCCAGAAGTAAAAAACAACACTGAATAAAATGTTTGCTGATGATTTACGTCACGATTTTGTCACCTATCCCAAGAGTGTAATATCTTATGTGAACCGCATCCAACCAGTTCAACTTCACCTTATGCAGCAAAAGTGTTTTCATTTTCATTAAAATTCAACGCGACAATAAAATATCCCGGCAACAAATTCTCTTTTATTACTGTTGAAATTATTCGCTATGAAAAATGGCACAACACGAAAAACAAATCATTGCTCTTGAATATGTTCGGGAGATCCATCATATTTGCAGCGAAAGTGTAAGCACGAGCAATTTCTTATTTTTATGATGTTTGTAGCATATTTATATTTGGTTTTTAATTGTTGAACTAAGGAGTCATAAAAATGGCCCTTCATAAAAATTTCACCACCGCAATGCAAAGTGCATAAAATACCGTTGGCATCAGCGACAGAGTTTCAGTGGGGTGTGTGCGATTGCATTGAGAAAGTACAAAAAGCCGTTAAGATCCAGTCCAATAAAAGTACGAATTAAGTTTTAATGTCGACTGACACCACCACCACCATGCACTTTGTGTTGGTTTGTCATCGTGCATCGCATTTTGCTCCCGTTCACTCTGCTCCGCCCGAATATCATTATCATCCAGCTCACAATAGTAATGTAATTATATCTCCCGATGCAAACATTATCCGCATTTAACGGCGAAAAGTGTCGGCGTATTCTTTTTCTCCACACCAAAGAGTCTCTCTCGATCTCTCTCTAATGCGAACGAATCTATTTTTTATGAACATCTTCATTCCGCCACTGCAGACAACGAACATTTTATGATTAACGTTGTGCCACTGCATCAACGTTGGCGGTGAAGACGGAAGTCAGAGTACTTTCTGCAGCATTATCGTCATTGTAGCTGGGCTCAGATCAAAAATGGAACATGAAGTGCGCTTTTATGTGTCTCGAATCACTCTCACCGGATAAAACCATTTTTCTCTCTCTGAGCCCATAGTGGCCAATAAGCATTTAGCGCAATGTTTGCACTTCTTTTTCACACTCGATGGAAGATTTCAGCCGATACGGTCAATTATGTTTCCACCGTTGCCACGGTTTGTCTCAAAATTTATTTATTATTCACATATATATTCATGTGATTATCATCGACGTTGCCGCACGGGCCGTTCGCCAAGAAGTCGATTGCATTCGGTTTTCATTCAAGGCGTTCATCGCTGTACAGTGTACACTGTACAGACCTCATATGCGAGCATCTTTTATAGCACACACACATATACTCAATTCAACTCCCTTCTTGAGTGCGAGTATTCTCTGTGGGCTCGTGTTAATAACACACATGAAGCATATCTTCATTGGGTGACATATAGCAAAGGAAATTTGAAAATAGCATCGAAATAATTAGAAAATTGTGCGTAATTTGGGATTTCTTTTATGACTTCATTAGCGTAGACATTTTAGCATAAACGAATTAACATGACTTAATAATAATGATGTGTTTTTGAATTTCTATTCTTTGCAGCAAACGAAAACAACGAAGACGTACGAATTCAAGCGGTGCCAATGGAATTTTGTTGGTTGCAGCACCACCACAAAAATTGGATTTGGCTGCAACGGCTTTTGATACGAAGACAACTGCTTCCGAACCAGATCCAGACGATCCAAAAGACCAAACAATCGTTGAAGATGCTGACGAGGAACGAACATGGAGTTGGCGCTTCGCAAAATATGCGGTGCCCGTTCAATTAGCGTTGATCGCTCTGTTCTGTGCTGCATGCTTCATTGAGCCACACTGTTGTGATGGCGCCAACAGTTTCGCATGGAGTCTCTCACCTCATTTACGTTACATTCGTGGACCACCACCGGTCTGAATGAACTAACTCATCCGTATCGATTTTTCATGAAACAAAACAAACCACTGTCCACTGTGACAAAGGTTTGAACAATTGTTAACAAATGATGAATAATCGATAAAGCAAACTACCGCAATTCCTTTGAAAGGAGATTTATCCATCATCCCGGGCCAGCCGAATGCTACGGCCCAATATATTGCATATGTATGAATTTGCATCTGAGTAGTTAAACTGCTTTATTGAATGAGTGAAATTGAAATAGGTATCATTTAGAAGCCATCGGGCACGCTGTTGTTCACACACACACACACACAGCACCTGAACTATCGATGGAGTACACATACAACAACAAATTGTTTCTTTTTTCTGCGAAAAAAAAAAACAGAATGAAACATCGGTTGGAGAGCCGTTCGTTGAATCGACCTCTCTCAACCTTAAACACTTATTGAACTAATTGCATTATGTGAAATTATTAAAGCTAGATTTATGTATTCATTTATTCTTACAATTATTATCTTTTGTAATAGTTAAGACTGCTTTTGTTAGCTTATGATTTATTTTTCTTATGATTTTTTTTTTCGCTTTCTAAATGAATTTCGAATGAATACTACTTTTTATTTTCTTATTATTTATGGATGAAAAACAAACAAAAAATTTCGAAGAACACGATCAAATTGAATTTATATGTAAAATAATGTTTCCTAGATTTAAGTTTGACAAGAAAAAAGGATATCAAATTGTGGATCGCGTAAATTTTGAACGAAATAAGATTTTTTTTAAGCGAAAATAAGTGAATGTGGTGTTTGGAAATGCTGAGAGCTTAGTAAATGTCATCTAATATAGGAAATATTATGTTAAACTAAATTAGTTTCAGGATATTAGATGGTGGTGGTGAATTAGTCGTACAATTTCTTGGTCACTTCGTATCATCAATGCCCAGAAATAATAAATGCTACGCCACTTATCTGAAGGACGGTACATACACACACACACACACATAACATCAGTTTATTTTCTAAGCAAAAGAGAAAAAACGAGTGTGATTCAGCATGCGTTTAAAATGATAAGTTTTGAAAGGTAGTCGGTGTTTGCCTTGAAAGCTAAGTGCCTAACAATAACTGATAATGACAATGTTAGTCGATAGCATACATTTAAGAGGGATTTTATTCGATATACACATGTCTTTAGTTCATTTCGTTCGCTCGCTAACAGTTCAATCGGTGAAGGTGCTTCATAATGCTTTGCTTCAAAGGATGCCAATTGCTTGTTTTACTGCTCTTCGCTACCCTGAATTTCAAAAAGAAGAATCATTTTAATGCTTGCCCTTCAGTTTTGCATCAGCATAATAGTTTTTATTGTGGAACATTTACCGATAACACTTTTGCTGCTGAATATCTTATGCATTGGAATCAAACATTTTTTTTTTTTTTTGTCGAACATTTTGAGGAACATTGAGAAATAAATAAAAATTCTATTACATTAATAGAGGTCTATTGAAACTTTATTCAAGTTAATGCAATTATTTTTTTATAATAAACTAAAAGTACAATGGATGAATGGATTTATTCTCTAAATGATTCGAATTTTCCTACGAAATTTAATTTAAATAGGATTTTATTCGATTAAATTTATTCTCTTTCTTGCAAATCGCAATTGCAGTGGGATTCATTTGAGTTGGAATAATTCTATTTTACTAATTATTTTTACATTTAATTCGAAACCAGTGGAAAAAAAATCAAAAAGAACGAAGAAAAACCAATAAAAAACGGCTAACAGAAAAGAACAACAACAAAAAGTGTCTTTTTATTTCAATGCCTTCAACATTTTCAGTTTGAGTTGGATAGATTTTAACGTGGCAATATCGATGCGACATTGAAGACACCATCCTGCAGTCATGAGCCCTCTCTCTCTCTCTCTCTCTCTCTCGCTCTCTCTCATCTCAATGAGACACACATTTCGTTTTGTGAAATGAAATACAATTCGGTCGTGTGTTGTCGTCGTTTCGAACATCCAATGCGCTGCAATTGTGAACTGTTCGTTTTGAAAATAGCGGTGACTTGAAATCAACGATTGCGTCAGTTGTACGAAACGATCATCATCTCTGATGGGCATACCCATCATCACCGTGCGATTTTATCGCATACACAACCAAATATTAACTTTTTGACGCTGCAATTTCATGTAGATTAGCGTTTTGTTTGTACATCAAATTTTCGATGGAGAAACTTTTTTCTGTCTCTCGCTCTCTTTCTCTCGGTTCAAATGCGTAAAAAACACTTTTTTATGTGTTTTTTTTTTCTCTCCCGCCCCTTTTGTTATGTTTTGTTCACGTTTCTGATGATGGACCCTCACCACTTTGCTGATGCCACACCGTGTTTATTGCAGAGAATAAAATATTTTTGATTTGCATACAAATTATTTTCACGCTATTTTAAAAGAAAAATCAACCGGGAAAAATCACACTGTACACGGACGATACGTGTAGAACGCCGTGAGCAGGTAATCAGTAATAATTTGTACATGTCAAATGTGTTGTTTTATCTTTGTTTTATTCAAATGCTTTCGGAATGATTTGCAAAATATGTTTTTTTTTTGGTGAAATAGGCGGTGGCAATAGAACGCACTTGTTGTGCTAACGATTATGGTGAAGCAAATGGAAAATGACTGTGCGAAAATTTAGATGTTTCACGGTTTTTCACAGATGTTAGTCTAACATTGTTGGCACAAGCTGAATTGGGAGCACAATCTTTGCATAGAAAATTACACGAAACAACAGGAACAAGCAACAAAATTTAAATCAAACTCCCTGCATCAATTACGGAAATTGATTCTTAAATTAGTCAAATCCCAGCAATATGTAAAGTGCAAACGATTCGGCCGAAGAGCGCATATTAAATTTGGTCAAATTAATCCTTTCCAAAATGATTTTAAATCTCTTGATCTCAAACGGTTGTTGGCCACAACGAATGGTTGCCTGTTGTTGTTGTTTGCACCATTGACCACTATGGAAAATTTTACACAACATTTCCCAATTGGGGGTTATTCTGAAATTTGACCACACATTAAACCAATTATGTAACAGATTATGTCCAGAGTTGCAAAGCTGTGTTGGCCATAGGACAATTTCCGTTGCCATCATTTCAGGCAAGAGTCAAAATTCACAAGGGTTTTAATTTGAAATTTTATTTGATTTGGTCGGTACACCACTGCGGGAATTCATTGCAGCACACACACACACACACACATACGGTAAACTCAACGCCACAGATAATGTAATTTGATTGCTCGGGTTTTTGTGTTTTAGGGGAGAGAATGAACATGTGCACGGCATCCGATTTTAAATCGGTACGTAGCATGGAACGAATGTAAGGTAATGGTTAATGAATTCGATTCTCTCTCGAAACTTGTACTGCTCAGTAGCACACAAAACACGAATGTATTAGATCTGAAAACGTGAATGCAGTAGCTATAGGCTCATGGAATCAAGTTGTAAGAGGCGAAATTAAAGTGAAAACTTCAAATGAACTGATGGAAAATAAAATCGAAAGCAATTTTCCGTTCCCATTTGAATTATTTCATGCGTTATCGAATGGAATGAGAAAAGTGCAAATTCTTTGAAGAAATGTATTTAGCTCAAAATAAAAGTTTGCGCTCCAAATAATGAAAACAAATTGTCTGAACTTCAGTCTTCAGCGAGAGCGGTAATCATTTTTTAATGCATTGAGATAATTTTCAATTACGAAATGGTTCACCGCGATATCGATTGTTGGAATGAGGGAAAAACAACGGGCGCGGATCCGAAAGTAATCCACATTTGGCCGTATTTCAAATGTAAAAGTCATTAGTTTGGTGTACGTGTAATATTTTTCCACTGTCTCTCCGTTTTTATCAACAATTCATGAGAGAGTTTGCGATTGATGCGATCCAACGTCAATATATCTCAACACGACACTGAATGTACCGTGTTTTTAGCACTACATGAAATGTAGAGCTACTAATCTGTTTTTTTTTGTCTTAATACTTTTTGAGTACTGAAACAAATTATGGTGAATTTGAATTTTATGCTCATATTTTTTATTTAATTTAAAACAGTGGCAAATACGACAAATGAGTGCATAATATCTCAAAGCGCCAATCACATTTTTATGATAAAATGTTTTTTTTAAATTACATTATTTCAATCATTTTTCGTACAGTATTTTCTGAGTCTTGAACAGAATTAAAGTGACTTTAGATCTATGCTCATATTATTTATTTGATTTTAACCAAAGGCAGTATATTTCAAAAAAGAAATAATACCAAGATCTTGTTATTCATTTTTGAAATAATTGAGAATCTTTTTTCTGTACTTTGTTGCAAATAAATATATTACTTCAAAGTTATTTTGATGAAATACATTTCACGTAGTGCGCCAAAAAATAGTTTGTTGTGAAACAACAAAATAGAATAAGTAACTATAATCTCAAGAACGCAGAGCGGAGCGAAGCGACGCTCTGCGGTCTTGTTTTTCTTCTTCAGCGGCAGCAAATCTTAAATCCATACAAATTAGCGTGATTGCCGCAGTCACAATACACGGTATGTATGTCTGTTTTGTTCAAATGCAAAAGCCAATAGTGATGAATTTCATTGCGTTGAATTTTCCAAGGCACTTTACGTGATGCCATGCCATGGTTTTGCATTTTGTATGGCAGTCATTTGAAATCGCATTATTTGGCATGCAAAAGGTAAGACTCAAATAAAATTGTATTCGGGTGCGGGTATATCAAAAAGTGAGAGCACACAGCTCATACTCTATCTCTCACTACCACCGTACCGAATAAATCTCAATTACCATTTTTACGATCGTCCTGGGTGCTCATAAAAAATGCTTCGGTTTTCTCTTGTTTCACGGCAAAGTAAACCAGAAGAAAAAAATATGTACCATTCTGTCGAATACATCAGTTTTTCGCCGTGTGTTTTGATGTAAGTGCAATTGTGGCAGAAAGGGGTGCTCACCTACTGCCAAAAGTACTAAATGTTGTTAATATTTATGTACCGACGTTTGCAATTCTTTTGTATTCCATGCCAAATGAGATGATGGCAAAATCGACTTCGGTTTCGTTTCGATGCTTCCTCCACAGTTTCGGGTGCAGGAGTTGAGCAATTTTCATAAAACGGTCAATGACAATAAACAAGAGAAGGTACAAGACCTCAATGCATTTTGATCTATGTGATTATTTGACTGTATTTACCTATTCCGATTCACAAAATTTCGACCTTCACATGAACACAAAACCACACGACAACCGTTCACAGACTAAAAACCAAAGAGAAACTGGCTCATTTTGGAAATGCGACGTATTTTTTCACAACGAAAACCAATTGAGCTATCATCCTGATGAAGCATCCTTGAATGCTTCGTGGCAAGCTGCAACAACTAAATAATTAATTTCCACCGAGATAAAGAATAACTCTACGCGTTACCGAGTTCACTTGTCAAATGTGGTGCTCGCTTATTTATCTCCTGCGGCAAAAGCGTATATATCAATGTTACAGAAACAGGGAAGATATTTCTTTATTTGGCCGGAAGACGGAGAGAGCGAGAGCGAGAAGAAAATAAAAAAAAACCATTTTGAGCATTTAATCCGAATCTTTTGTAACCACGAAGAAAATCAACGGCATTAAAAGATGCCACATGCATTAGGTGAATTGAAATATACAATCATAAAAATAAATTTTTAAGTAGGACACAAGAGCAAGTGAGCGCGCTCGCATGATTCCTAGGTTTCTATCGATCCAACTCGTTTCTTGTGAAAGGTAAAATACGAGGTTACATTTGCTCTCCTGATACGATGCGCCATATCAAATGGAAATGAAGATGTTCCGAAACTAGATTAAACTGCGAGTGTATTTAAACATTTTCAAAAATATGCTCCTATTTCGTAAAGACGAAGAAAGTTCCTTTGTGATGGTGAAAAATTCCTTGTAAAATTACAGAAAACGTTTTTTTTTTTTCAATTAAAAATCAGCAAAACCTCCAGCAAGACTCAACTTATTTTCATCATCTCCCAAGGAAATTTATCGCACAACGGAAATTCGATTGTTCACAGAGAAACGAGAAAAATGTCCTTTTTCAAAACTTAACCAATGTCTCTTCCATTTTTTGCCCGTCGCTGTTCCGGCATCATAATAAATACGCGTTATAACCAAACACTGAAATCTGATTTGATTTATTGTATATCATAGTTGAATATTATAAATCAAAATATTTTCCTTGTCCCCCGTTACAAAAACGATGGAAGAAACATGGTATCGCATTAGCATTCAGTATCGCCGCCAGCCACGACTTATCTGGAGCAAGAAAGAACAAAATGTGCACAAATTCGGAGAGCGCGCAAGCGGAGAAAAATATTGTTGTCGCGATGTCAACACAAAGAAGTACAACAAGTTAACCGCATGTTGTTGCTAGCAAATATGCGGAAAAAAGTTGTATATCGAATGCAAAGCATATTTCATGCATGCGATTTGTGGTTGATTCGATGCCACAAAGGAAAAAAAATACATCGAATGCTATTCTAATCAAGTCATTTTTCTTGATGTATTGATAATGGAATCGAAATGAGAATGCCATTCATTGGTTGCGGAAAAATCAGTGGTGGATAACTATGTAAAGTAGGCGAATTTGGTTCCATCACAGGCTTTTCGTTGCAAATGTACTACCATATTTTCCAATTTTATCGCATGTTTTTCGATGCTTCAGTAATTCATGCAAGCCAAAATAAATACATTCATAGCATAGTTGGTTTGCGCTTCAAG